TATGTGAATTCTTTTAATGGTAACAGCAAGCTGTGTTTTCAAATGCTCAAGTTCTTTTTCCTAAATATGCATTTTCATTTAAGTCTACATATTGACTGGGCTCCTCAGCTCATCTTTAAGCACATTTTCTTAATAACAGAGCAACTGTTTTTATGTCACATATCTGGTCACCATTAATGGCATTACACAAAAGATATACAATAGATTTTTCAATAATTCTAAGAGGACCTGAAATTCTGCTTATTGTTCTTATCCTAATAAGTCAGGGGATGGTTCACTCTAATACAAAGATTAAATATTCTACTAATTGTATTTCTACAAATTGTCTATTCCCATTTGCAACACTCTTTTTACTATTTACTCTCCCAGAAGAAGTATGATATTTATGTCTTCATACATTTGTGTACATGCACAAAATAGCTGGCGTCCAAGATTTACCTCAGAATTGTATAATTTAAAATTCTTGAATGTCATCTGAGATAGTACCAAATGACCTTGTTATAGACAGTATTAATCAAGTCTGATATATAAATTCCAGAGGTTTTAGCAACATATTTGTTATTTATATCTCATTATTATTAAAGATATGCTTGTTCTCTCAGAAAATTAAAAAAAGTTTTTAATAATTTCTATTGATCAGACCAGAAACTCAATTTGAATGTAAAATTAATGTTAACCATTTGAAGATAATATGTAAAGCCTTATTTTAATACATAGGAAAAAATTTAAAGCTGATATTCAAAACAGGAGAAGGTGAACAACATATGCCTAGAATATCTAGCTCAAGTAAGCTACCCTCTGTTCTCATGACTGAAACTTACTAACACAGGGCATAAATAACATTCATGCAGTCTTTAAAAAGTCTAAGTGAACAGTTGTCTTCTCTTAAGGTAATTTTTGATACTTTATCTGGGACATAGAGCAATGTACTTTTATAATCAAACACTGTTACATTTCAATTGACCCTTAAGCATCCCTACTCATGCCCTCACTCAAGACCTAATCCATAAAAGATGTGTTTTCACCATTATCTAGGGATGAGGAGTTAGTTTTTTTGGTAATCACCATGTTGTTAACATTCTATTTCCTTTGACTAATTATAACCAGAAGAATTTCTGAAAAAAAAAAAACAAAACAAAAAACCCCCTTTTTAAATCATTGCAATTGCTTTGCCAGACACTAGGCTATATTATATATTAGGCAGACAACGAAGTACACTAAATCAGGTGGCACTACTGATACTTTACATTCACAGCAACACAGCCATGTTCCTGCCACCCCACCATGTAACTTTTTTTCCTTCTCTCCAGAATTCTCCTACTGTGTAAAGGACTAGTCGCCTTGCTCCCAGAATTGCTTCATTCCTGGAATTCCTTTTTTGGCAACAAATAATTCATACAGGATTTAAACAATGTCCAACAACCCTCACCCCCTAGCCCCAATAATACCTATTAATTGCCTTTTTTTGCTACCTTAGCCAATTTTCAGTCCTTCCCCCCCAAACCCTTCTGATCACAGATATTCAAAATATCTTGGCCAGGAAAACCATTTAAGTAAACAGCATGCCTTTGGTTGATTTCCAAAGTTGCAAATTTTATTAGGATATTGTTCACTGTGTTTATAAGTATTACATATGACAACTTAAAACATGACTTCACCCAAGGGGGAACTGTTATAATAAGTAAAGTATTTTCAAAATAAATGTAATAAATAGGATATGGACACTTAAAATTCTTCCCTTTGCTAATATAATAATGTACTTCCAATGTGTAAATGAGTTCTAACTTTTATAAAAGAACTAAAATTTTCTATAATACAGACTCATATCACAATGCTGCTCTGTTATGTCTCCCCAACCCCCAAGAATTACAGCCAATTTTAAAATGTTCAACACAATTTAAAAATAACATCAAAAAAATAAATTAAAAAAATAAAAATAACATCAAAAGTTAGAGTAATTTACAATGAAAACCACTCACTTATATAAAGGCATTAGAGAGAAGTTGACAAGTTAAAGAACCCTGCAGGATATTTATCAACAAATCGGTCATATTTATCTCATCTCTGCTTTCAGCAGATTATCTGCTGCTTCAATCTTACAGGTATGTCAACAATTCAGAATTCTCCAGGGCCCTGGAGCTAAAAGCAGTTAACTTTAGGGTCATTTCTTCCTGGAATTTATGTTGATACAGGATTCTTTCCAGACCACCACAGTTTCAACAGTTGCCTGTCTGTTTCAACTTTAGAGACAGGATAGTAACATTGAAACAACACTCACAACCCTAAGAAGCCTCCAGACCTTTTCAAAGAACTTTAACAATATACACAAACCACCCCTGGTAATTGTTCCATAGTATGTTAATGCTAAATTCCTCTGAAGCTAATTTCCTCTTTGAGTCTCAGAAGCTTTGTTCCTTAGTTGGACTCAAGCAGCTATAGCAGAAGCATCATGACAGGGCCCTTTGTTCTACCATATCAATTCTGTGAACTGTGTAATATTCATGCTGTTCCCCCCAAAATGCTCTTCCTTCAACCCATTACCTATGTCCAATCCTACTGAATTTTTGAGACCTAAAATCCCAGTTCCTCCAAGAAACTTTTCAAAATTCCCTCCAGATAATAGTCTAACTCATACTTCTAAACTCCATAATTTGTTGGCTGTTATTCCTTTGGGTAGCTTACCATTTTTTATTTGATAAACACACTTTTTTAGAGAGCATTTTCCTTCTACAGACTTGGAACCCCTTGCTTTAAAGCAAAAAGTGTTTGTTTAGTTCAGCACCTGCACAGTGCCCTGAATGAAGACTAGACACACCAGAAAGTTCTTGAATTCACCACACAACACGAATGCACCATTTTCACGAGAACAAAGCATGTGTGGGTTTGGGACTAAGCGTCCAATAAATACTGAGAGACTGACAGACTTTTCATATGTGAAATGGATCCTTGTATCTATCTCATATAATTATTTGAAGGATATAATAAAATGCAAATGTAATCTTGAACAGGGTTAGGCACATGGTAGATTCTCAGCAATGCTCCCTTTCCTTTTGTTCATTCCCTATATTTACTGAGTAGTTGATGTCTGGTTGCTCTTCCTCGCCATTCTCAAAGGGTAGGAAAAATATTTCATGTGCCTTCCTTGTGTTCCCCTATGCAGAAGCAGCTAGTCTGGCTCCAGTTTAGCACTGGATCTGCATAGACTAAAGGAGTACAGTGATCTCACTGGTCAAAAGCTGGCCTCAGTGGTCCTGGGGTCTTCAGTCAGATTCCTAAATGTAAATTAGGTTCTTTTTTTCCATGTGCTATGGCAGTTCTGTGTCACTGAGATGTCTGCGCTCTCTCAGAACTGTATCAATTATATTTAAAGGAAAAATGGAAATGGACCATAGAGAGGCTTGGGTCTAATAAAAATCCTACTTTGTATTAATTACCAAAAAGCTTAACAACATAAATGATGAGTAGTTTAAAAACTGAGGCTTGGGAGTTTTTCTGCTACTTACTATCGGTGGGAAATTAAGTGTTACTTAACTGCTTAGTAAAGCAACCTACCTCACATGCATCCCCCCCACCCCCGCCCCCGGGACACATAAATAACACAATGAATACACACCACAAAGTCCAATTCTTGGCACATAGTAGGCACACAATTACATCAACTCTAATCATTAAGCAGCTTCTCTTTACTTTCAAGTATGGAAATACTGATTGCCTGATCCTTTAAAATTATTTTGCACAAATGGAAAGCAATACAGCCTCTCAGTTTCTGCTGTTTCATATCTCTGATCTGGTCTGCAAGCATTTTTTTTGTTCCTAATCGATTCTACATTTGTCATTTCTCAAGTTAACTTCCTAGAGAAACAGTTCAACATTGCATGAAACAACTGGTAAGCCAAGTTAACTGTTTCTCTCCTCTTCTCTTTATTTCCATAATAAGCCTAGAATACTTTTATATTAAAAAAATTAAACAACTAATAAAATAATTACTGGGGGGATCGAATCATCTGACTTTTAGCAGGAGAGAAAAGGTATTTCACATTCTCTAATTTTCAAAACTGGTTTGCCATCTTCTTCCCCTTCCACCTACTTGACTGTCAATTACTAATATAGTTTAAAATATATATATACATATATAATATAATAAAAAACATATATATAATATAATATAGTTAAAAAAAAAAAACAAAACCCAAACCTTGTTCACCTCCAAAGTTTAATTTTTTGGAAATACCAGCGCTGTGCTCACGAGTGCGTTGGCGGGGCACAGCAAGCAAGGCAGGCGGGACTGCTGCTGCGGGTCAAAGTCCCCTTCTTTCTCCACCTCCGAGTCAACCCGCGGGGTGGTGTGATTGCTCTCCAGCCCAAAGACTCTCACCTTTCACTTCCTAGATGAAACCGCTCGCTCCATACACTGGGTGGAGTGCCCCGAAGTATCTGGGCAAGGCCCACAATCCCAATTCATAGGTTGTAGGAGCGCCAGTACTTTGTTTTCTTTTTAAAAATATTTATGGAGGTCACAGATCCTTTAAAATTTTTAATAAAAGCTAGGGGCGCTTTCTCCCAGAAAAAATGATCATATCAAATTTCTGCACAGAATTTCAAAATGTTTACAAATTCCTGGAACCTCCAGATGAAGTCCCCTGGGGTTGGGGGCGGGGGGCCTAGGGGAGTAGGTTAAGGAAGGGGTGAAAATCTTGGACTGAATTCTTTTCAAATATATATACATACGTATATGCATTTAATATACGTAGATACATACATGACAAATCTGAGTAAGAGGTTAATTTAAGAAAGAGTGCTTTTCCAAAGTAAGCTGGTCTGAGTCTGGAGGCGCGACTGGCCGCACAATGGCCCGCAACCAACAGGTGTGCACACCACCAGGTCCTGCACCCTCAGGAAGAAGCAGGAGGAAGCAGCTGGGCGCCGAGGGTGAACCGGCGGTAGGGAAGGGATAAAGGGCGGGTTGAGGGCGGTGTAGGGGACAGCGGGGCTCCACTCACCGCTGCCCGCGAAACTGCGGCCCTTCCGGGCCAGGGTCTGCTGCACCTGCTCCTGGATCCGCAGGCTCTTGACCGCCTGGCCGCTGCTCCCCGCCAGCTTCAGCTTGGCCTCGGAAGGCAAAGCCAGGCTGGAGCTGTCCAGCTGCCCCAGAATCTGCTGGCCCAGGACTGTCCGGATGTAGCCGCACTCAGCCGAAGAGCCGGGAGCAGCCATGAGGCCGGAGCTGGCGACCAAGCCGCTTGCCTGCCGCGAGACCTGCTGGAGAAGCTGCGGCGGAGCCCGAGGCACCGGTGCAAGCCCCGCCCCACCGCCCCGGCCCCTCCTCCGGCCCCGCCTCCGCGCCGGTGAGAGGCCGGAGCCGAGGAGTGCTCGGCCTCCGGAGGCCGGAGCCGGGTCTCAGGCCGGAGAGGGGCGCGGCTCTAGCGCGCCTAGCACTCGGCTAGGGAGCTGGGCCGAGCGGACCTCGCGCGCCGACACCTGGCGAGTTGAACTGCTCACAGGGAAGCCGGAGAGGGGCGCGGCCCGCCCTGGGGCGCACACACTCTCAGAGTCACCTCGGATCCTGCGGGCCGGGGCCGCACCCCGCTCTCTCTGCCTCGCCCGGCCTCCGCCTAGCCCTCGAGAAGGATGTGATTTCCTCCTGATTGCCGGGGCCGACCTGCAGGCACTTGCTCCCTGGAGGGTCAGTGCTTTTCTTGGGCCGAGGTTTGCCTCTGGGATCTCCGAGGGAGTAGTCTGTCTGGTTCGTCAGGCTCTGTCAGACTGAAGCATTTCCTGGATCTGAGATGAGAAGGGGCTATTTGATCAGGCGTCAAAAGGCAGTAGAAGAGAAATGTGCTGAGAAGACGACCTGTGTAAAATAAAAGACTTTTTAAAATAGTTTTTTTTTTTTTTTCCTTAGTACAGTTTCAGGGACTGTGTCCTTTTTGCGCAGATGCAGTCCCGGAAACATATGTTCTTCCTTACTGAGAGTTTCTGTTTTCTCTTGCACATACACAAATTGTACCCAGTACACCCTTGCTCACCCACTCCTCTCTTATGAACACTCCCACACAGAGAAGTTCCAATAAGAGAGCAGGCACGCTTTCAATAACTGATACTTTTAAAGTCCTTTTTATGATAGGCTCTTTGTAGGGATCCCATGGAAGGAGTCTATGACTTTTCAGTCGTGTATTCCATAATGTATTGCTATTAGTTGGTTTCACACTTAGTTAACTACAGAGAACATGATGAGCTAAACTCAACAGAAAGAGCCCTTGACCTTAAAGCTTTCAAATTAAGTCACTTATCCTGCTTTCCCTCTTTGGACCTGAGAGGCAGAAGGAAAAACATCTATCCCCAGTAATAAGATAAATTTCATTTGATTACTTGAGGGCAGGAGGAGAAGGGGACAACAGAGGATAAGATGGTTGGATGACATCACCGACTTGGTGGACTTGGGTTTGGGTAGACTCTGGGAGTTGGTGATGGACAGGGAGGCCTGGTGTGCTGCGGTTCATGGGGTCTCAAAGAGTTGGACACGACTGAGCGACTGAACTGACTGACTGACTGACTTGGGATTCTATGTCCACTCTCCCTGAAATCACTCAGTTATTGCAGAACTTCACTTATTCAGGTTTTGGGTGGCTAGAGAACACAGCTTCTCCTGTCCTCATTTTCCTATGGCATACCCTTCTGTCTTTACACACACACTTAAAGCACAGTATAAAGCCGTCCAAGGGATGTAGAGGAAGTGAAGGGACCCAAAGCCTGGACAACTGGAGTGGTGACAGTTCTGCCATCCTTTCTCAGCTGGCCTCGTGGCTTAAGTGAAGCCATGTAGATGGTGGGTCTTCTATGCAATTCCTCCTATCCCAGTCAGTTCAGTTCAGTTCAGTCAGTCCAAGGGACTCTCAAGAGTCTTCTCCAACACCACAGTTCAAAAGCATCAATTTTTCAGAGCTCAGCTTTCTTCACAGGCCAGCTCTCACATCCATACATGACCACTGGAAAATCCATAGCCATGGTTTACATGTTGGCCATGTAAAGTCTCTGCTTTTTACCTATCCCAGTAGGACTAGTCTTAAAGTAGATTATATCTTGTGAGAGCTTCCCAGGTGGTGCTATTGGTAAAGAACCTGCCTGCCAATGCAGGAGATGTAAGAGACATGGGTTTGATCTCTGGTTTGGGACGATCCCCTGGAGGAGGACATGGCAACCCACTCCAGTATTCTTTCCTGGAGAATCCCATGGACAGAGGAGCCTGGCAGGCTACAGTTCATAGGGTTGCAAAGAGTTGGACACAACTGAAGTGATTTAGCACACAGGCACACAAACCTTGTGAAGAACTTAATTATATTAGCCAGATGTAAATATCCAAACTTGGCGCTGAGATTCAGCTGAAAAAGAGAGGGGTGAACTGAAGGGAAAGTGATGATAGAGACTTCCAACATCGAATTTCATTCCTGTCCCCTTCTTCCTTCCTCCACCGCCCACCTGGTAGCCTCCTCTGGCAGCTCTGTAAATGCTGCTTTGAAAGGTAATTTAAGTACCTGTCCCACAGGGTCAGCTGGGCCATTCCTTGGTTTTTGTGCCTAATAAAGTCAGCTTTGCCTCCATATAGATCCTTCAGCAGGGGAGTGGAGAGGAATGTTTCTCATTTATTTATTTGATTGGTCCAAACTTCATTCACTTTCTCCCTCTTAAATTGATTTTTTTTAGTGTGATGTTGTAGTTGACTAGCCTAATATCCTATTGAGAACGTAGAAATCTTGCTAATGAGTAGTTGGGTGATTTGACAGGATGGTTAAAAGCACCAGAGTTGTGAATGAGGCAGATCTGGTTTCAAATCTTAGCTTGTCCTTTTATAGTGTAGCCTTAAGCAAATGCCTTTACATTTTTAAGCCTTAATACTCCTACCTGTAAAATGGGAGTAATAAAAGTATCTACCATGAAGTGCTGCTGTGAGAATTAAATAAGTAGTTCATAAGAAAAACCCAGTGAATCATTGTTCAGTACTCTTTAACAAACATCCCACTGAGTTCCACTTTTGCATTCTTCACCTTCTTCAATTGGAGAAGGAAATGGCAACCAACTCCAGTGTTCTTGCCTTGAGAATCTCAGGGACGGGGGAGCCTCGTGGGCTGCCATCTATGAGGTCGTACAGAGTCGGGCACGACTGAAGCGACTTAGCAGCAGCAGCATCACCTCCTTCAGGTCTTTCTTCATATGTTAACTTATCATTTGGGTGAGATGCTTTGTCTCTTAGTCTCTCTCTGTCTCTCTCTCACACACACACATGTGCTTGCACACACAGAGTCACTCATTATCTCCCTTCTCTGCTTCACTTTTCTTCACAGCACTTATTTTCATACATATGCCTTATATTTATAACTGTTGATTATTATTTTCCAAATGGAATGTAAACTCCTTGAAAACAGGTTCTTTGTTTTGTTTACAGTTGTCTCTAGGACCTAGAATAGCGCACATAGTAGATAATAGTGATATGTTGAATGAATGAATGAATCATGTATAAAAGCACTTAGTATGTTACGTGGTATATAACAAGTGTTCAACAGCTGTTAGTATTCTAGGTATTCTACTAGTTATCTATGTAATAATCCCTGTAAATAAAAAACAACTAAACTGAGGTCATTTTGAACACTTTCAGAATTCAATGATTCGTTAGAATAATTCCTTTGAAAATAGGATAAACATATAAATTAATTGAAAGAAAATCTATGGAGGTGAGAATCCTATTGCAACAGCAATAATTAATTATGGGGTAAAGGAATGCAGACTCTGGCACTGTGCTCCAGGACAGTCTTAACTGTACTTCTATTCCAATATAGTGCAGGCCCTTTCATGTTCTTTGTATTTCCTGGGAAAGTTGCCTAGCTGACTTCCTAAATTGTGAGCAATCTCTGTGAGATAACTATTAAAGGTAGTTTCTACCCAACAAATTAAAGCATGGAAATTAAATGCTGTGGATACTGTTGTGGTATATGGGTGTTCTACAATCTGCTTCTATTTAGTATTTAGGATCAGTTTTGAAAACTCTTCCATCTCTTCTGTTTTTCATTTACCAACAGAATCTGATAAAAGAAAAAAAGTAAAACCGCAGGAAGATTGAAGTGGACTATATGTAACAGATAACAATTATGAGCCTACACTTCCTTCTGCTAGAAACCTATGATAAGGATTCAAAAATTCTTTAGTGTTAAACTTGCATTTTTATTTGATTTACATACTATAGCCTTAAAACACTAATCTTTTATAGTTTTCAAAACTATAGTTAGGTCTTCCTTAGCACAATCTTTACTGTTTTTAACCATAAATAAATTCCAATATGTAAAAATCCAGAAAGCTCCTAAAAGACTAAACACAGTATAAATTCTATGGCAGAAATAGGATTTTCATAGAGAACCTCAGTGGCACCCAAACTCTTCGGTTCAGATTTAAAAAATAAACTCTAACACATTTTCATCAATATCTTCTCTTGTGAAATATTTTCCTGTTACTGTTTGTAGGCTACTAATATCTATTGCTTAAAACATATTTTCCTGAATTCCCTGGTGATCCAGTGGTTAGGACTTGATGCTTTCACTGCCATGGGCCTGAGTTTGGTCTCTGGATAGGGAACTAAGATCCCTGCAAGCTGCCCAGGAAAGATTAAATGAATAAATAAGTAAAACATTTTCTAAATTAGTGTAAGAGGCCCAACAGATAGAAAATGTAATGTAATATAAACCATGGATTTTAGCAAATGGATATGCTGCCAAGGCAATGGTAGCAGGCTTATCAGTAGCCACATGCATTGAGGCTGAATCAGAAGTGGAAAAGGAAGCTCTGAACATGTAAGTGCTCAACACCACACTTTGATGGGGACTTTCAATAACAGTGAGGGTTAGACTGTTTATCTTTAATGCAGATGTTCATTTTATCTGTTATTTTGGATATATTGTGAGTATGTTTATTTTTAAAAGACACCAAATATGGTGTGGGAGATAGAAACCAGGTAGACAACCATGAGGGCTAGCAATGAGCAATTTGTTCATGCAGAGGCTTTCAAAACAGTTCCTTTCATGACTGTTTTTCATGTATGCGTTTGGTACATCAGTTAAAATGATTACGTTCTTGGTGGATGACTCCAGCTGCTATGTAATTGTTGTCAGATCTTTTGTCTCATGGCCAGAGAGGCTGAAGGGAGGGAACAACTTGGTGGATTTTCATCATACATTCTTGGCTTCATATGAGATGAATATTAAGATTCTTTGTCT